AAATAAGTACAAGAAGCAACATTTTGGTGCACTGAAGAACAATTACTTAAAGCAAAAAAAAAACTGAAACTATATAAAAGATTCTTTTTCTTCTTGACTTAATTTTCTTACTTGATTTATTTTGACTCTCTTTTTATGTTCAACATAATTTAAAAGAACCTTCTTTGTTTTCTTGCCCACAATTATGCCTTTATTCATCAATATCTATTAAACAGAAAATATCTTGGTTTTGCTTATTAATGTCCAGCTACAATCACAGGTATCCTGTTTTCTGAATTCAATTTATAGATTCTACCAAATCCTGAAGAAGATATAAAAGCTTCTCTAATCACACATCTAGCAATTAGATTTTCATGGATTCTATATGAACTGCAAAATATTTTTTACATCTACCATACATTCATAGGATCCAGTACGATAGGGGTAAATCCACACTTTAGTTCATACAAATTGATCAAAATGTGAAGCATTTGTTGTGGTGTTAAGTTGTTGTACTCTAATAAATGACTCCTACTTAGTAAATATTAACACGTTAGGGGAATCACATGGTTCAAATTAATATCATTTTTATTTAATTTCAAAGCAGAACAGACAAAATAAATAATTTGAAATATGTCATCTTATAACTTGTAAATAGGTTCTGGAAGGTTTCATTTCTAAAAGGTTCTAGAACATATGTGAATTCCATAAATCCTAATAAATAACTCAAAGGCATTGGATTACTTTATATACTAAAACAGAAACAACCTGAAAGATTAAAGCAATTATCACATTATGCATTTTCTATAGAGTTAGAAATAAGTAAGTAAAAGTGAGCATACATTTTTGCAAGAGTAATAGACCATATTAAAGTATAGATTTGTAAAGTAATGGGTACTTTATATTGTAAGTCCCTTGTTAGCTTAAGTTAGATGGGATGGCGTTTGATTCACAAATAATTGGTATTAGAATGAATTCAGATAAACCAGAAGCACAGTTCACTTACCCAGGAAAATGAGCACTATCATTTTGGATAACTTGGAGCTGTTCATCTGGAAGAAAGGCAGATGTGTTTACTCCAACCACCTTCTTAACAGAAACTGTCCAGAATAAGGCTTCAGCTTCTGCTTTTGCTTCCTAAGAGCATTACCAATCCAAGTCAGCTTCCTGTGTCATCATTTCCTCACCAATCTTTCCTGAGCTGTGAACTTTCCTAATTATATTCAAATTCAGTTATTCTCCCGAGTGCGCTGATCTTGGATATTAGGACATTATGCTTCTAAGACAGCCCGCAAGTCAAATACTAATGGGAATGATAACATACTCTGCACATTGCTGAAAAAGTTTTTTTTTTCTCCAACTAAAACACTAAAAACCTACCAAATAGGACCCAAGATTTTCACAGATACCTGAGTATGCTCAGTTTCCACTTTATTAATTAGCCTCATTAAGGCAATCTCATGTAATCTGAGGATATGAAAAACTAGAAAAGGCATAAGCAGCCCAGGAAAATGTATGAGAAATTGAAGTTTCATTAGAATTAGACTGGTATAACCTCATCCTCCCAAACAAGAAATGTTCTATTACATGTGCCACAAACCCCAGGCTGCTTAAAAATTGTGCTACTTCACCTATAGCTCCTCATATCCTCCAAATACGGCTATAGCGTAAAAAGTAACTTCTCACAGTGATGCACAAATTCTATGTTCCACTGGCAAGGTAATCAGCCACTTCCGTGTTCATCACTTGACGATTACTTTTCTCCTAGCTTCAGTGAGGAGCATCGTTTGTCTCATGTCTTTCTTTGATTATGCTCTTCCGCATAAGCCTATAGCATATCATCTCCCTTGGGGTGTTATGAGGCTTCTGTTTTTAAATCACCCTGAGACCTTTCTGTAATGGATGCTTAGGAAACATGAAATGCTGCTTTGGCAAAAAAAATTTTAAAAGATAGGAATGGGAGAGAGGAGCATATGTACACAGTCACACAATTAAAGAGTTTTTGATCACATATTGTTGATGTTTATTTTATACTAGTAGAGAAGTTATAATGTATTTTGTTTTCAGAACGCATAATAGAAAAAGCACAGACTCTGGAGTCCAACGAACCAAAATTGTAACACTATTTTTTCTGTAGATCTAGACAAATGACTTAACACCAAAAGTTATTCACTCCTCTGTAAAAGAGGTTGATTGTATCCAAGCTTGCTGTAATACAAAGTATATATACAGGGGATTATATCACAGAGATCAAGAAATGATTATATTGTACCCATGACTTCATTATTATTTAACAAAATAATTATATCACAAATTTAATCAATCTTTTTTTCTTTTAAAGAGACTGAATCACTCAATTTGTTTTATAAACCCTACAAATATAATTGTTCTTTTTGGTATAAGCAAACTTAAAATGACTTGCACTAGATTCAGAGTTAGTAACTCCCACAGTCGAAGAGTCCAGGTGAAGGATGAATTTCAGGCCTGTTTTAAACCATTTCTTCAGAAGGATGTTTGCCAAGGGTTTGAGTTGTTTTCTTTTTTTCCTCCTGTCTTAGCTGCTTTCCTCTTCTCCATTCCCAGATAGGTTCTTTTCTTTTGGTGGGAAGGTGGATGTCAAGCCCTTGGCAGACATCCTTCCCTCTTGGAAACCATAGGGGGAAGAGTGACTCTTTTACTATTAAAATTACAGAATTAAGTCACATCAATTTGAGAGGTGTTGAGTGCCCATCAATCTTGCCCAGGGGAACTGATCCCATGTCCAGCAACAGAGATGCAGGTTGTAGGTGGAGTTGGCCCTATTCAAAGCACAGGAACTGATGGTGCAGAAGAGATGCATCGCCAAGGAGGTGAAGGGATCTTGGGCCAGCATAAACAACATGCTCAGAAAAGCATCCAAATGCTGAGTTTAAGTAGGGCAACCACAGCAAAATAAATGTACAAAACAAAGAAAAAGAATAACAGAACACAATTTTATATTCAAGGGAGGTGACATATTGTGACTTTCTAGAATGCAGTGATATATGAAACCTGAATGCAAGACACATTCAGGTGAATGGTGATAATCTTTGCCAAACAGGTACATCTGCTGAGGTCTGTAGCTTATATATGTAGAAAGCACCAGA